ACGCAAATCAAAGGGAATAACAAAACAAAACTTGCATATGTTGAAATAATTATTGATGAACAGCATTGAGACAATGTTAATGTCCCGAAACAACATTAAAGTTAATCATATTCAAACTAATGCTGTGACAGGACAATATAATTGTTATCAAGCCTTGCGAAACGATGCGTATAGTAAATCCGATAAAAAAAACCATTCTGGGTTGTTGCTGTTTGTTGCGCTCCGATTCAAACTGTGTGTCTTATCAACTTTTTGATAACAATACGTTTTGCTAAATTTTAACTTTATTATTTTACGTTCGTATTCCACTAGAAACATTTGATTTTCAATTCAGAATCACAAAAATTAACAAACTCAATAAATGTATTCGAGTAATTTTTCATTGAATCAAAATGAACAAGAAAAGAAAAAAAAAGTTTTGTGCAAATGAATGAACGGATCCAAAACTGACGATATGTACAACGCACAAGCACTTTGAGCCAACTGAAATTACTCTAGGGTTGATTTTACAATATACGAGCTAGCCGTCGGTATGATGCCATGACAACCACCCCGTGTCGCGCGCGTTTCCATTTCCATGTTGTGCGTGCGACGGAAAGAGACGGCCGCATACAAGATTAACGTTTTGCTACAATTTCAGCATAAAAATGATACACGCACACATCGAACCGAAATTCCATACACACAGTCACATGGACACGCGCACCAACCTTTTATCGAAATGTCGAGCGAAGGGAGAGCGAGTGAGTGAGTGAGCGAGCGGGCAAGTGACTGAGAGAGAGAGAGAGAGAGATAGAGAGAGATCGTGAAAGAGAAGTGAATAGAAGAAGAAGCAGAGAAAAAAATACATTTGAATTGATGGAACAACAAAAGATACTCTTGAACAGTGGACCGTTGCTGATATAGACTCCCCAAGTTTGCTGTTTGTGACGACGAAAAACGCCATCAGCAGCTTGTGCATATTTTACCTAATTTTACTTCTGCTTTCCACATAAAATGTAATAACCGAAAATCACGTACACGCCGTTACAACTTCGTACCACATCTGTCTCTTTCTCAATCTCATGCTCTTCCTTCGAATTGAAATAGCTGCCGCCGACGAGGGGCAAAAATTACAAGCATACAGGCCAAAATACGTTCATTCCGACCATTCAAAACGTTTTACCGTTGCAATATCATAAAGTATAACGGCAAATATCATACATATGCACGTTTAATATTGGAAAATTAAGTAAACTTTATTAGCAAATTCGAATGAATATTAAGTAAGCAAATGAGCTGCGCCAAATTCTCTGATTAAATATTAATTTTTATGCAAAAAGTCTCGCGAAGTTTGATCGAAAGATGAGCAAGTTAACGTGTATATTTGCATAATTAAATTAATAGAACATTTGAATTTTTCTGTCCATTTTCGGATGTTCGCTCGCTCTCTCGCTCTACGATACAGTTTCATCGAATATACACCAAGAAAGCAAGTTTTCCAAGCGATTCGAATATATATATGCATGAAAGATACAAGAAACAGTTGTCCTTTTCATCAAAATCCGAATGAATGGTGAAAACAAGCCACAATAAAAACCAAACCAATATGTTAGCTCTTCTAGCCTGCACACATTGATGCGTACAAATGCAATGCTTTGCTGCTCTCTCGGTAAATTCATATCGAATACGTACAGAATATGCACGGTACAGTGTTGTGTGTGCCGTATATTTGTGGCGTTTGCGCAGTGCAGACGATTCGCTGTCGCTTGCTTTCTTTTAGAAAATCAATAAGGCGTTTTGAATCACCAATGAATCGTGTGTATGTTAGAAATGCCGATAAGAGCAACTGTAGCTGTTAGAAGAATGATGTCGATTTTTCGGGATACACGCATTCGCATTCTGCATCGTTTATTTGCCGAGTGTGCGCAGTAGCGTTGTGATTTGCGTCAATAAGGGAGCGTGAGGGCGACGAAGAGCGAATCAGAGACAGAGAGATAAAATGCGACCGAACTACTGAAACGTGGGTTTCTGTTTTATTAGATTTTCCGTCGAATACTAACACAGCGCATTATTATTTTGGTAGAAGGTATTGATAATGGATGGCCACAGCCTTCAACAAGATACAAGCTAAACCGATTTTCTAAGATCCAACCAAAGCATACATATTCGCAACAAAGCATCCGAAAATTAGCCCTCTTGCGACTGAATCTCCAATTTTAAATCGTTTTATTTGCAATAAAATACAAATTCCCGTTTTCGTTCCCATTAAAAAGCAAATATTTTGATGTAATGCGAGAGCGAGCAATTTCCCATTCTCATCTGCGTATGAAGATTTTAATGCGAACAAAGCCGCTGATATACTGTCGAAATTATGCGATACATCGAGGGGCTGCGCACAGGTCAATGACCGTAAAAATTCCAATTTCGATACATCGCACAGTCGTTTCGTATCATTCATAACATCATACAGCATTCTTATTGAAGCTGCTACCTACTACCGAACACTTGCCCCAAATTCGGTGCTCACTTTTTGATTATTTATTTTGCTCTCAGTAAGTATGCAGTGAGGATGAATTGAAACACCAGTCTCTCCGCATTCTCTCTATATGCTCACACACACACACGCGCGCGTCGTTCGACTTTATGAAATCCTGTTGCCGAAGCATTTTCTAAAAAAAATTGTTATTTTTGAAATGGAATTCGCCGTGAACTCAGATATCTCACATTTTCGTTCAATTTATTTGGTGTGGTTTAGTCGGAAGTTTAGTCAGACATCCATGTATGAGGCGTTCCCGTATGCTTTCGGCGCAATTTTTCTCCCTTTATGGAATAAACAGAGCAGAAAGTACAATATTTATTCAACTAGCAAATGGTTTGAATCAATTTCAATTTGGTTTGTTGTATAGCATGCGATTTCATTACGACGACGGCACGGTATGATAACTCAATGTATCTTTTCGACAATTTTCATGCCAACCTTAAATCATCATTTGGATTTATTCATATAATAAACGACTCATGATGGTATCGTTCACGGATGTAACATTCCACACAGGTTGATAGAATTTCGAAGAAACCTCCTAAAACATACTCAAAATTTATGACGATGGAAAAATGCGTACAATTATTATGAAATGTTAAAACTTTCCACTAAGTTTACTGCCATCCGTATGTGATTTTCCTTTGAGATGTGCCTAGGGGCTTATGTGTCGTACGAATCAGTGTGAATCAGTGCGAATCTCACGAGTCATTTCAAAACATATGGGCAACTGCACGAATCTTACGAGTTTATATGAAGATTCGCGAGTCCTTCACGAGTCTCTCATATAAATTGGCGAATCACTGAACGAAACTATGAAATGTCAACGAGCATGCCAGTTGAACTCACAATTCACTCAATAATCGACTACTAAATCAACTTTTTGTCATTAAAAATATTTATATTGTCACATTTTGACTGCAAGAAAATTAAAATTAATACAAAATTTTAAAATGGTTGGTTTCGAAATGTTCTTTTTATTTTTTTAAGGCAGACAATAATGTATTTGATGTTTTGGGTGTTGAAATCCCGAGAAAAAAACAGTCTTTGCTTGTCGATCGACTTTGGCTCTTATTTACATAGAGAATATCGCTGAAATTGGTGGAATTCATAAACGAAAATCGTGAAATGTTAGTTGAATCTATTTATGAAAATATTATTCCATCCAAATTTTTGGCAGCGCATCGAATCTTCATACGGAATATGTCAAGTTATATAGATCAACTAAAAAATCGTGAATTTGAACACAAAATGGATTTATCACAATTCCCGAACCCATCAAAATGCTTCATTCAAACAATTCAATCTGATGAAAATAAAAGTGTCGAAGCATTTTTTTTACACTGAACACATTAAGTCATTCTCCACATATATTCATATGATGTATGGCAAATCTTGTTATAAATCATTAATGGTTGACTTGCCCATTCCAAAAATAAGTGCAGTTCGTATGTTTCATAAAACATTTCGTGGATCTTAGTTCCATTGTCAATTTAATACATTTCATTTTCAATTCACATCCATTCCAGTTGCCTATATTAAACAGAATAAGAAAAAAATTATAGAACACAAGCTGAGATCCGAATGGTTTGCAATGTGTATATAAGCTAATTTGCATCGACTCGCGGATTTGCTATAAATGCCATACACTTTCTATGCTATGACTTGTGTATATATTTGTTTGGTATATTAGGTAAATTGGTGCGAGTCAGTGCGAGTTACTTGCAATTCAGCGCAAATCATTTTTAATTTACATGAAAATCATACGAGTCTTGCTGACTCGTGACGACAAATAAGCCCCTAGAGATGTGCACATGCGACAGAATACCGTGTTATAAATAAAGTTGGACGTAAACTTATTTGCGGTGCGCTTTGATGTTTGGCCACTTTCCAGCTATATTGCGGTGGGCATAAAAAATTTATTCGGTGAACCGAAACACTGAGACTGTCGAGTGTGTAATTGCAATGTGTATGCACTTTCGTCGCTTGCATATATGGATATGGTGTTTTTGACTTTGAATTACACGTATCGGGCTCTAGTTGAAGGTCGTACAATGAACTTGATTCAACTTTTTATGCTCATGTCCTTTCCTCACTGTGACTCTTTCACGCTCAACCGTGATTACCAATATGTAGTTCAAATCTTTTTTCCACACAAATACACACACACACACATGCACCCGTTGCTCGACGGGTCGATTACGCTCAAACTACAAAATCGTTTGAAAAAACAAGGAACATTTTTCGGCACTGCATTAATATAGAGGACGGACACGCAAACAGAATATTAATGCTAATACCGTTGTGGGTGTTGTTGTTGTTGTGTATTTGGCTAGAAATTTTAGGTTTCGCATACAAAAATTATTATTTTTTTCGTTTGACACATTAGTTTGTCTGGATTTTCGTTCACTCAATACTTATGCAATTCGAATAAATAATAAGCATTTAACGAATCGATTTTTTTCCATTTCATTCACAGCGCCACCATTGAGAATGGCACACTGATCTCACACGATTTGCATAATGCATTGGCAGTTATGAAAACTGAGCAGATAATGCCACAGCAACAACAGCCACAGAATGCAGCCATTGCTGTTGCCTCAACAGCCACCACAACAGCCATAAACAATGGGACAACTGCATCACATTCAGGTTCATCGGGTCGATCGACACCAAACAACACAGATTCAGCACCCGGAAAGTTATTCGTGGGCGGTCTAAGCTGGCAAACATCGGCCGATAAATTGAAAGAGTATTTCGGAATGTTCGGCAATGTTACAGACGTTTTAATCATGAAAGATCCAGTTACACAGGTACAAATCAGCACATTGTTTTTTTTGTTTTTCTTATTCTGATATTGTAAATAGAGCAAGTCTAATCGTAAACAAAAAAAAATCCATACCATTTACTTTCACATTTACAGAGAAGCCGTGGTTTCGGTTTCATTACATTCTCAGAGCCTAGTAGCGTAGAAAATGTTCTCAAAGTGCCAATTCACACATTAGATGGAAAGAAAATCGATCCAAAGCATGCAACACCAAAAAATCGACCGAAACAATCGAACAAAACGAAGAAAATTTTCGTTGGTGGCGTCAGCCAAGACACATCATCCGATGAGGTGAAAGCCTACTTCAATCAATTTGGTAAAGTTGAAGAGACTGTGATGCTAATGGATCAACAAACAAAACGGCATCGTGGTTTCGGTTTTGTCACATTCGAAAATGAGGACGTTGTTGATCGCGTGTGCGAAATCCATTTCCATACCATTAAGAACAAGAAGGTCGAATGCAAGAAAGCCCAACCGAAAGAGTCAGTCGCACCGACCGCACAGTTGTTGCAAAAGCGATTCATGTTGGGTGGTTTGGGTGTACGAATGGGAGTGGTGCCACCAACTCAATTGACCGGTCCCGTTGCCGCCGCCAGTGCGATCAATCCAACTCAACTGCAAGTAGTACAAGCTCAGGCACAGGCCGCTCAGGTTGCCGCTGTTGCTTTGCAGGCCCAGCAAAATGCCGCTGCCGCCAGCTTTGGTAAAATGTTCACCGCGTATCCACCGTTACATAGTTTTAGGTAAGTAAATCCAACATAAAAGAGAGAGAGAGAGATAACGCAGTAATTACAATGCATAGTTGTCTTGTAGAATAAATGTAAATATATCTATGCTTCAAATCTTATGCATAACTAACTCTTTGCCTTAACCCACAATTTTCGGTTTTAATTTAATGGATGTAATTTTCCTACTAACACCAACCAAAAAAAAAAAAAACAAAACCCACTGTCGACGAACAAAAAATTGAATTTTTCTTCTTTTTGCGCAAGATATGCACCATATCCAATGCCAACGGGAGCTGCCTCTGCCGCGCAAGCACATCAACATCCACATGCTGCTGCCACATCGGCAGCGGCAGTAGCACCGCAAACAGCTCATGTTCAAACCCATCAACATCAACATCATCAACATCAACATCAACCTCAACAAACTCATCAACCGCCTGGCCATCTTGCCACGGCACAAGCAGCCACCGCTGTCGCTCAGCCATTCCCCTATGGCATACCAAATGTGGACATGAGCAGTTTCCAAAATGTCGATTGGTCAAACATCTACGGAATGTATGTCTAAATACAAAAACAACAACAACAAAACACACACGATCGATCGAACAAACGAATGAAAGCACTCGCAAATAATGTGATCGGATCCCGAGTGTGATAAACATAGATTAACATAGGCGGTAGTATTTTTTTTCTCGAGTGAACAGAGTGATGAATTGCCCGAATAAAGCAAAAGATAAAAACACATACACACACACCAGACAAATTAAGGGAAAAAAATGCAAAAAAAAAATCATTCAATCTTTAATACTTTCATTACGAATGCCATCAGATGCGGGCAGCTACACAAATTTAATGTTTTAGATAGAGATATAAGTAAGACACAAAGCAAAGAACACAACAAAAAAGCAACAGAGATCCAGAAAAATTGTCCTAACCGAGTCGAGGGTATGCGTGCCAAATGAAAACTAAATCACAGCACACGCGAATTATTCATGGATCAACACATAACACAATGCGTGTTAGGTTTTTAAAAAAAATAAAAGACACACAGAGAGACCAAACAGCGGGATAAACAACGAATCAAACGAAGTGGAAACTAGGCAGCGTATTTATCACACATGCAAATTGTGCCATCAAAATCAAAGTGGGAGAAGAAAAAAAACCATAATTTGATCGCTGACATTGAAGTTCGGCTCAAGCAAACACACTATCCGAGAGTGAGAGACAGAGAGAAGAACCTGAAATAAGTAACCCAATTTTTATTTAATTCATCTATTCTGAACAAAAATTCCTGTTCATTCATATATGAACATAATTTTTTTTCCGTACTTATTACTCTGTTCGTATGTGTTTATTTTTTACTTTGGATTTTATTTGGTTTGTTCAAAATTTTATCGAATTTTAGATTAGAGTAACAATTTCGAGAAGAAAAACAACACCAGCCCCATTTGATTGAATTCGGTCTGATCGTATCAGGTTATTCATTAACCGTATCAGTGAATAAATCTATATTAGAGAGATGGTCTCATTTTATTTTATAGTAAATATAATACTGAAACCAATATAGCCCAACAATAACCCAATTTTTTTTTATTCGAAAAGAATATATCGACTCCTAACATGTATCCATTCACAAAGTAAATGTGTGTATTTTACAACATCTGTACATTGCGATTCTGTAGACCTATACGTATATGTATACCATATATATATCGAAACAGTGACAAAATTCTTGGTCAAAATTGGCAGTTGAACTATACGCATTGATATTAAACAACCGCCAAATTTAGTTGAATTTTGATTTTAGGATTTCTGTTTTTTTAGTTTATTGATACGGTTGCAAAAAATGCACTAAACAAAGAGAAAAAAGTACGTAGCCGGAATCCAGAATTATTTACTACTCACACAATATTTAGATGAATTTTCAAAAACATCAAAGAAAAAATTATTTAAAATTCATATCACTAACCACCACGGAACAGTTAGTCAATTATAATCTATTTTAAAAAAAAGTTCGAATTTTCCCTTATTCTGTTGTGTAAGTCCATTCACTATATCACCTGAAGGGGATGTAAATAGTATTTACAAAATTGTCATTCGAAAGAACAAAAAAAAATGATTATTTTCCGTAAAAAAAAAATGTAAGTGACAATAATACCAACAGACCATTAGCTATGCAGTAACTTAGAATGCGTAGGCCATTGACCAGGAGAATGGAGATCTTGAAATGAAACCTAAACTCAATAATACGGCTATCATTTCGATTTTATCATCTTTACTTTCAGTACTAGTGGCTTTTTTTGTTTTCTTGACAAAATTCATCTTCTATACATATATAGTAGTCTCGAATGGTATTTTACTCAACAACAACAAATGTATCGTTTGCTAATACTTTTTCTTCTATTGTGATAAATGCAAATTCTTTTCTACTGTGCTCTTATCGTCCCTCATAGACGTAAACGAGATAATTTTGTTTCTATTAACCTAGCTGCGCTGATCACGTGTTCAATATTTTGGTCGGCCAACAAAACAGACAGTCTCTTGTTAGTGTCTGTGCACGCGATAGATGTGTTGATTTGTAAAACCGCTTAGAATCCCGTTTTTTTGTCTTACTACTAACCGCCTGAATCAATATTTCTGGTTTTCTGGTTGAACAAAAAAAAGAGAAACAAGTTTAATTGATTAATATTACATGTCAATGTAAAATGTACGTTAAATACACAAACATAAGCCCACAAAACACCACAAAAGAAACTCACTCTGTTTTTATTTTCCTTTTTTTTCGTAGATTTTTACCCTTTTTTGTTTCGTTCTTGCTTCTTTTTTTTAAATTATTCTATAGTGTATTCAAATAGTAATTCGTATAAAACAAACAGAAAAAAAACATAGATTTAACAAGCAGACATATGGAAAACATTAAATTGAAGCAATTTTTGTGTTGTTGTGAGATAGACGAAAGAAAATATCTCACTCAGCGGTGAGAAGAATAAAAAATATTCAGAGAAATGCTCAGTTTCAACAATTCATGTGAACAAAAGAAAGAAAAAAAACGAAGAAAAATAATTATCTCAGCAACATAAAAATGTGGATTTATTGAAAATTAGTTGATAATAGTTGGTAAGCAAAATTTTTTTTTTCTTTGCAATAAGCAGTATTATTTTCGAACAAGTACACACACACACACCAATTCACAAAAAAACAACAACAACAAAAATTATCTATACGCATCTTCATATTATTTTACCTTTTTTCTCCGTCATTTTATCAATTTTTTTTTAAATTCAACATTTATTTTTCGAACTTAGGTTTTTCATTAAGTTTATACATTAGACTCAAGAATTACGAACAAAACACACAGACGCGATCGATCTGTCTAGATGAATACATGCGAGAAATGAATGTGTTGTTTTAATCATATAGTACTAGTTTGTAATGTTTAAATGCATAGAGAACATGAAATAATATGAGTACTCATATTGAATAACGATAATGATAAAGAAAACAAAATATCCCAGAGAAATAATCAATTACACATGCCCTCACACCAACATTATATATATATATGCATTCTAATACTTGATAGAAAAAACCAAACAAAAAACAACAACTGAAGTAAAAAAAAACAGTCAATCTACTAACCCCACACACATATTCACACCGGATGGAACTATATATTTGCAAAGAGCAACATATGCATCAACGCTTCTTGTAGATCAGTTTTTTTTCGTAGCCAGTTGAATAATAATTTGCCAAATGGTTTATCTCTAGAAAATTTGACATTCATCATTTCAATAACGTTGCCTGAATGGAAAATTTCTGTATGTACTTAAGAAATGCAAACAAACAACAACAACAACAAAAAATCTCCATTTATTTGTGTACAATTGAACTGTTCTATTCATTTCCATTTTAAAATTTAAAAAATCGTTTTCATTTCGTAGCTCTTGTTTGGCTATTTTTTTCCATTTAAATTTATGTTTTTCTTTTTTTTTTTAGTTTGTATATTCTGTGTTTTCTTTAATTTAATGATTTGATTTAAAACGAAAAACGTTTGGAGCACCGAAAATTTCGCAATTTCCGCAACTCCAGCGTTGTTTTTACTTTGGTCGAACGGAAAAACCAATTGAATAGATTACACAATACACAGCGAAAGCAGACAAATATACGCGGCAACTGGTACAGAGTTTTTGAAATGTTCGCTGACCTCGAACAAGTCAGTGCTTGCACAAATCCATTTTGACTTCGTGTGACGTCAACGAAAATTTCCAAACTCTAGTAGAAAAAAACAATTGAAATTTAAAAAAAAACAATTTAAATTGATTTCAATACCAAAATGTATTTCGAACCCTTTTAGAATAGGTATTTTAACACGTACATACATGTTTACCGTTTACTTTCATACTTCTTTTTATTTTAGTAATTTTAATTGCATAATTTTTTTCATTAATTTTTTTTTTCTCTATCGATTAAGCTTAATAAAAATGAATCCATTCACGTGGAAAATACATTTGTGTATGTTGTATTTTTATTTTTTTTCTCTCAAATTGTCACTGTTTTTTTTTTTAGTTTCACATGTTTATTTCCCAAGTATTTGTTTCTCTTCTTTATTTTGATCGTAGGTTGTGCTAATCAAAGCCTTGGATTTTTGATTTTTTTTTTGTCTTTACATTATACATATATAAAAACAAAACTAATAAGCACCGCTTTTTTACTTGGAATACTGTAGAAAGAAAAATATTTGCCACTTAGCTGAGTGTGAGAGCTATGCACTGATTTCAATTTGAATTTGAGCTCTACTAACTTACCCGCGATTTTATATCGAACTTGTTGTGGTGAACCGGATCCAAAATGAAACACCTATTTATTTTAGTCGGTAATTTTTTTTATCCTTACCCTGAGACTGTACACAAGACATTTGCGCTTTCGTACGTGTGCAAACAGAAAAGTCATTTTCATTGAGAAGAAGCTCTACATTTGATGTAGTGGCTAAAATTTGCATGTTCACACTATACATACAAAAGACTAATTCTATTACGCTAGTCGATATCATCACATAAAATCAAATCCAAACAGTTTCATACAATTTTTTTTTACTTTATTATCATTTCATCATAAATTTGGTTTAATTTTTAAGTTGCGGGTAAGTTTTGTTCTCTTTCAATCATGTATCAAAACTGTATATTTTGTTGAAATCATTTTTGTTTTTTGAAGTTAATTTTTGATCCTTTAGCCTAAGTTTGTCATCTCATAATTTTTTTTAGTTCCAAGGTAAATTGTCTGCTTAGATCGACTGTTCACGTGATATAACCGAATCAAGTCAATACTCAGTATCCATATATCTTTTCCTCTCGCTCTGTAAATAAAAACAATTCAATTGACACTTGACATCAGTTTGAAAAAAATAACGGTACAAAAAATTTGAACAAAATAATCCAATTCAATGCAAAATTGCATACAAATTAGATAGTCTTGTGATGTGTTTAAAATTTGAGTTTGTATTAGATTTTTGATAATTTTGTTTTCCGTTCATTTGCGTGTTTCGTTACGACCGACAGCAAACCAGCAAATAAAACCAAACAAAACTATACAATTCATTTTTCTTTAGACTTTGTGAGCGTTGTATGCAGAACCGTAAGAGATTGCCTGTTAATAATATCATGATAATATTCCTCTTTATGAATTCGCACTCAAAATATGTAATCAAGTATCCCCATTCATTCTCTATCAATCTGAATTTTGTTTAATTTTTCTCTTTTGTTCCGACATTCAGAGACAATTCGTTGTTTTTTTTCCGTTTGCTTATTTTTCTCTAGCCGAATAGATTATACTAACCTCTAATCATTTGTTTTCTACATATAGTTGAATTTGATACATTCGATTCGCGAGCATAGCAACTTTTTGTTACCATTTGTGATTAACATGTTCGTTTTTATTCCTTTCTTGAAATAATTTTGTAGATAAAATTTTCAATTTTTTTTCTAACTTCGGGACAATTAATAAACAAAAATTCATTTCATGGAAAATCGTGTTCAATAAACAAAGAAAAAAAAAATTCATAATTCCAAATAAAACAATTGATGATGATTGGATTCGTCGCGTTTCTCTAATAATTAAAGAAAACCAATTTGTGATTTAAAAAAAGTTGTAAATAAAGTGTAGCTCTTCTAAAATGGAACGATTCTTCTCCTGATGAACTAAATACAAGCACGTACGACTGTGAATAACAGTTCTTTACATGTATTTAATAATAATTAATTATTTAAAATTGAAAAGAAAAAAACAAGCACTTCGTGTAAATTCAGCATAGAATGTCTATTTTAAGGCTCAAATCCATATCATTTACGATAAACAACAACAACAACAAAAATTTTCCTCATAAAATATATATATTTTAACATAACATAGCAGTTATAACGGTTAATTAAGAGGATTTATCTAAACTAATTTTTATGAAACTGACAATAATGAACAAACAAAGAAAAAGAAAACGGTACTGATAAGCAATAAATTAAAACAAACAAAAAAAACTATTAAACTGTGAATATTCTAAATAATGAACATTGAATAAATAATGATAAAACAACAAAAAAATGATAAACAACATATTTCGTGACAAATTAATTTTAACGAATATTTGATAAACAAATATGTGAACCCAAGTTGTGTTCTATCACACGATAAAAAAAAACAAAACGAATAAACTCGATTTGGAATATTTTCTTGTTCGCTCCAAAAATGTGCGCAAATCAATTAAATGCCAACGATGTGCGATTGGCGCTCAACGAAACAAATGCTTCACAAAATATTGAAAACCAAGTACAAACTCGAATTTTTTTTATAACACTTTGGCTATAACGATCATCTTCTTTCTCATCGTGCTCGATTTCTTTTATTTTTAATCATTTTCCAAATGATATATACATTTCTATACATATATGCTCAAGTGTACAGCTATTTGCTTGATTCTCGTAGTATTGACCAGAAATCTGTTGAAAGTATTCTAGGTTACAAAGTGAGTTGCTTTTAGTTATCCTCACCTGAATATTTCATCATTTTGATTTTCTTCACAATTTTCATTTTTCTTCCACTGCGTCAATTTTTTTCGTTTTTATTCTGTTCGTTTCTTTGGGTAGCCAAAATTAACTGTTTACCTCACTAGGCAGTGTTGATAACATGTCTGTTGGTATCATATGCGACGACGACGAATTATTACACCACATGTGTGGTCCACAATCACGGGCTATACTATATATAGAGAAAAAAGAAAAGAAATTGTTCGCTGTATAAAAACAATGTTTGTATCAATACCATTTAGATTTAGAATCAAAACAATCACACACACACACACCCCGACACATGTAATTTCAAGTGATTTCTCGGAGTCATAGATTTGTGTGAAACTGATTGATCCATCAATTACAATTATTTAACCGAATTTTTTACGATTAGAACTGATTTTTGTTTTCGTACTGTAAATAAATGCAAAGAAGAAAATGAAGGTGCTATCACCACAAAATCAAACTTCGCATTTCACGATCTCTATTTAGTTTCGTATGTCACGATTATTTTTGGATTTTGTCGAATCGAATTTTGTCAATTCGATTCAGATTCGAATAGTTTATAACAACGGTATTTGTTTATTGTCAAGGGCCAAATGGCTCTGAAAAAGCCTGAATTCATCACACCTAGAATTATATAGCGTTGATCATATAAACAATGGTCTGTCATAGTTCATGAATAACAGGCCGTTTGTA